CTCAGTGACTTCGATGAAGATATTTTTAGGTAATTAAAATGCATGTTTGCTTTTTAAGCCTTTCGGTGATATGGTATATCCATGAAATTTTGTAATTGCACCAAACACCAAAATCTTTCACCATTTTTATTGAGACTATTTGTTCTCCATCAATAGATAAAAGATCGCTTAAAGGGTATCGCTTGTTTGGTTTTTGAAATCTAATTTGATCAATTTTGTCAGAAATGAATTAAATTCTTTTATTCTGCTAACCAGGTGATTACTTTGCTTAAATCTGTTTGAATCAAAGAAATAAAACCAAACACTAATAAATTTTGTATCTCCGGCATTAAAAAAAAGAAGGGTTGTCATTAATTTCTGGCATTTTGTTTATATATAAAGAAACAAGAACACTGCAAAAGTTGATCCCTGTGGACCAACACTCGGTATATTTCGGGAACGAGAGAATGTTTTACGAGGAAAAACTGTTTTATTTCTGTTTGTGAGATAAGATACAAAAAATTGAAGAAACTCATGGAAGAAGCCTACTTTGGCAAGCTCGTATAAAATGAAGTTATGGCTAATAGAATCCAAAGTTTTTGCAATATTAAAAACATTGTGAGAGAAAATTCTCCTTGTTCTAATTTAAACAACATTAACGTACAATATAGGGTTTGTCGCAGTCGAATGATGTTTTCGAAATCCATGCTTGTTTTACTCAAGTATCATTGAAAGAACCATTTTAACTTGTTATAAAAACTCGTTCAAATTTTTTAGTGCTAGTGCAGGAAGTTTTGAAATGAGCTGTATTTTTCAAAATTAATAAGTGTTATTTTCCAGATATCGGGAAACTGTTTATTACTGACTATGTAATTTAAATATTTGAACAATATCCTTCAAACAGAACTGTAAAACGAAAATTAATCTTTTAGGAGCTACACCATCAACTGAATTTGTTCCTGATTTGCATTTGCCAAGTATATACCCGGAAATACACTTCTGCTTGGAATATTCAATGATTCGTTGTCTATTTTGTACACAGATACAAAATAGAAAACGAATCATTGAATGTTCCAAGCGAAAGTATGTTTCCGGGTATATACTTATCAGATATAATCGTTTCGCAATGCGAAGATCTTAAAGAATTGAGTAAATGCAAATCAGGAACCAATTCAGTTGAGGGTGTAGCTCCTAACATGTTAATTTTTGTTTTACAGTTTTGTTTGAATTATAATGTTGAAGTGCTTAATTATATAGTCAGTAATAAACAATTTACAGATTCAAAAAAAAAATCGTTAAAAGCCTCACACATTGAAAAATCAGAGCATAAACTGGTTTTGTTGTATGATCTTTTCCTGGGTACATTTGCCTTTCCATTCATTGATCTGAGAAAATTTGAAAATTTTAAAACATTTTTAAATCGATGTCTTTCATTGACTCAAAGTAAACGGCTCTGTCTAGTCCTAAAGAATCATCCAATTCTGGCTTGCAGTGTTTAACTTTCTCGTCAAAGTAATTACGTATCACTGCCGTCTGAAGACGATTTTCAGCAGTTATGGAGTAAAATCCAATGGGGGCTTTAGAGCGACGAAGCTTCTTTTTTGAAAAAAATTTGTTAACGGCTTGATGATACAACCCATTGAACGTTTCAAGCATTCTATTTGCATAATTCGATCAATGAAATCTATTGCTTAAAAAAAACAAATGCAAGGATTCGGAGTCTGCTTTACGGATACAGTAACAAATTAGGTTTATCTGTTCCGTTTCAGTTCCAAAAGCTATTTGACAGGAAAATGCAGGAAGATCTGACAAGTTTAGTTTTATTTCGAAGTTTTTGCAGAAAAAAGGATTGTCTTTTAATGATACGTCTCGCTTTAAAAAAAATTATTTTTCGGTAAACCAAGATTGAACTTTGCAATTGATTTCAAACAACTGGATTCACTTTGGTCATCATTTGATAAAACATTCCAATCAACTGAAGTTAAGTCCAGATCTCCGCAGAAACTCCAGTGCTTGTGTTTAAGTTAGATTGTCTTATAAGAAAGTTGAGTTGTTTGTTCTTATCACTCAAAATTTTTTCAAATTTGATTCCGTTTAGAGTATAGGACTGTCAAGCGGTTGATCGTAAAATGCTGTTACGCAAAGCATTAGGTTATTCAGCTTCACAAACAAATATCACCCAAAGTCAAAAATATATGATTGATCAAAAATGTCATTCAATTTAGATGAAATTTTAACCGCAATTAGAACTCCTCCATGAGGTCCAGTTTTCCTTTGACAACGGTGGAACACTTCATATGCATTTGTTCAAAACACTGCAGTTTTTTCGACATGTTTATTGAACCATGTTTCACTTAGGGCAACAATGTCAGGCTAATGGTTTCGCAATAAATTGTCCAGCTTGATTTTCCGTTCAATCGTTAAAATTGATCTGATAATGAGTAACAAAAAATTTATGTCATTTAGCAGTCAAGAGGAAGAGTTCCCCTTACCAAAAATTTGATCACACTCAGATGGAACAGCTTTGTTACAGTCAGTTCTGTAAGTGCCAGAAACAAGGCTTCCAGCCTTTATTTTGAATTCTGATTTTTATTTTTGCATCAAAGAACTCAAATTGTATCCACAGTTAAGAAATCGTCTTTGGTTCTGATAGTCCATATTATTCACAAATCCCTTGATATACAAATTCGAATTTTTCAGCTTTCTCTTTGACAGAAAAATAAATTTATGATGCCAAGGAGATGGAATGAAAAAGACGAGAGGTCTCAATTTGTCTGGTTGTTCTTTACCAAGTCTAAAACAGTCGCTCACTATTTTCTTTAAGTTCGATTCTATGTTTGAACTTTTGCTGCGAACTATTTCTGTCCTTTTCAATTTGAATAATTTTATCGTCCTGTAAATTTTCTGCTGATCCATATATCACTCGTTGCTTTCCAATAAGACTAGAGTCTGTTTTAGTTTTATTTGGCATTGGAGCATTATTAATTGTTGTAGATAAACTGATCTGTTTTGATATAAATTTTGCGCAAATCGCTAATATCTCTCTCAATTGACGAAAATTTGTTACTCGGTCAAATGGACTGCTTCAAAGAAGCAAGTTTTTTTATTTCTAAAGTTTTATTCTGAATTGTCAATATTTGGTCGTTATTCTGTTGTATTGAAATATATACAATGGCTGAATCGTTTTGGATTGCTAAAATTGCGTTTTGGATTTCGTTTGTGATTTTCTCAAAAAAATGTTTCAATTTATCGTTTTTTATTTTGTGTCTAACCACTCCTCGCATTTCCAGAAAAACCCTTTTACTTTGCCTAAATTTTGAAGAACTCCCTTAAGCAACTTGTTAAAGTCAACGTGAAACCAGGTTTTGCGAATGTCATACGAATGACAATTAAATTCGCATTCATTTCAGCAAAGTTAACATGGATATTCGGGATCTTCAAGTAATAAAACAGTTATATTCTGTTGATTTAACGTTTTCCGTTTCATTTTTGGCGTTTTCCCAGAAAAAAACTTGGGGAATAATTGGATTGATCTCACCGAGCTCAACAATTCGCTCCAAGGCTCTGTTGAATCTGGATGCCTTCAATCCAGCCCAAGTGTCCACCAATAGGTAGGGTTACCAATAACTGAGTGTCAAGATTCGATTAAGTTTCCGTTTTTGATTTTGTTTTTGAAAACTTTTAAACTTCTTTTGCTCTAGAATGGTAATCGGCATATGTTAAATCAGTTTAGTTACCTCATAAAAGGACAAGTAAGAAAATTAATTTCGATGCGTTCTTTTGCTTTGGGTGACATAAAAATAGGTGTCAAAACTTAGCACAAAGATTGTGGGACAAAGTTTTTGGCTAAAGAAAGTCTACCCAATTTTGTGTGCTTGTTTACCGTTTGGTAATTTCTATTCGAGTGCTTTTTTGAGTTTCTTATAATTATTTCGTTTCGAGATTAATTTTTCTAAACTTGAACATCAATCGATATTTACTTTTGTAGCTGTACTTTTTGTTTATAATTTATTATTAAACCATTTAAACCACCATTAAGTCCTTTTTATAATGACCTAAGGTCTTGCGTCTTTTTTTTCTATCCACCAGCGTTCCGAGGGGACGGATCCAGGAACGACTATCTTTCCTCCTCAATTTTTCAGTACTAGTTTTTTTTTATAACAAGGGATGAATCGCAAACATGAATATGTGTGATGAATATGTGTGATGAATCGCAAAAGTTGTGTGCGATGAATCGCCTCAGTGTTGATTTTGTACACTAACTGATTGGCCCTCATCCAAAAATCAAATCTTCATTTGAGCAAACAAGTTTATTTGGAGAAATGATTGAGTTTGGATAAACTTCTGAATACATTATCTCTAATGTCTGCTTGAAAGTTTGTGTTTTAGGTTGCTTTCAATGTTCCCAGACATCGCCCGATTTCCAGGGTCGCAAAAGAATTGCAGCAGAAACAGGGGTGGGGACGAGACTCAACGCCGTTTTCGTCACTCAGACCTCAAAAGAGAGAGTACAATTCGACGAAAAGGAACGCAAACACTTGGAGGAAACTCTACACAAAGATCTGTTCAGTAAACTAGTCCGCGTGAAAAAAACCATCAAAAATAGTAGTTAGTTCAGAAAACTATGTTGCCACCAATTTTCAGGTTCATTCGCGACTAATTTCCAGACTTTATGTCTATGAGACTTAAAGCATTGTCCACACTTTGAGTTTTTGGTTGCGGAGTTAGTTAAAACTGGCGCAGTATTGAAAGTTTGCAAATAATTCGCTGACCTCGACCTGAGAAGTAACAAAAGAAAAAACAGGTATTTTAGTTTTTACAGACAATAAATAACATTGCCTCAAAACACAAAAAGGGAGCCGATAATTCATCATAAGCATAATGCGGTCGAAAGCAAGCGACAATTTGTAGAAATTTAGAATAATAAAAGGAAAAGAAACTTAAAAAAACGGATATAACAACGCACAGCAACCTCAAAAAATTCTCGATTTACCTGGCGCCCGGAAATTGATTTGAAAAAGTTGAAAGTACTTTATGTAGTGCTGTTTTAATAGGTTTTGAAGGATTTGTAGTTTGCTATAATATCATTTCGAGGAGATGTCTCTTTCGACGAATTATCATTTTGCCCAAAAGTTTGCGTTGCGTATTCGCAAAAATGATGCCACTTCTTTGTGTGGCATTTTTTTCCACTCTTTAATACGAAGAGAAGCCAAAAACGTTTAACAGTTGTTGTTTTTATCGTAACTTTGAAAAAGTCAAGAACGGTAGCTTATACAAGTACATAAAGTATATATTCAGTTTTCATATTCAATGGCAATTTGCTCTCATTTTTTGAGAAAATGCTCTCATTTTTGAGAAACTGCATTTAATTTTTCTTTTCAATTTTTTTTTTGAAAATGCATAAAAATTGTATAATAAACAATTGCTCCAAAGACTTGATGTATGGAAATCTATAACAAGAATTTTTGTTGTATGGAATTATATGTTAAGCATTTTCGGTGTATGGAGGTCAACACGGGAATTATACACCCTGAATTTATCGCTGACAATTGCTTGGAACTGACAATTACAAAAAGATAACATGACTGCTTGAATGTTCCGACTGCTTTTTACGGTATATGGAGCAGTAATAACGAGAAAAAAATTAGATTTAATAAAAATAAAAATAATTTTTTTCAAATTTGATTTTTTTTCTGAAACTCTCCCCCCAAAATCTATAAAAAATACAAAGTGATACATTTCGCTCCTAGTAACAAATCAATTATGACAAATAAGCTTCCTTCAACCAATTTGGAACAATTTCTAAGACCTATTAAATCTCCGCTTACGCGTTAATAGCGCAAAACAAATCGCGCGTTAATTGTCCCAAGTTGGCAGAAATAGCGAAAAATGATATTTGTGAAATATTTTTGTTCCCACTTTCGATACGAAAATAACGGAAAACTTGTGCTCATGGAGGGTTTTTTCTTCAGGTTAATTTCGACTTTTTAACAAGCCATTTTGATATAATTTTTAAATCTCATTCAAAAGGTATTGTTGTCCTGAGCTTAAATTTGTAAAGATATTTCACCTGTGTTCATTTTTCATAAAGTTATGGGGGTTTAAAGATTGCAATTTTGGCCAATTTGGGACAATTAACCCGCAATATATTTCGCGCTATTAATGAGTGAGCGGAGATTTAATTCGTCTTAGAAATCGTTTCAAATTGTTTCGTCTTAGAAATCGTAGAAAGAAGCTTATTTGCCATAGTTGATTTGTTACAAGGAGCGAAATCTATTCTTTTGTACTTTATATGGCGTGTGGGGTGATCATTTTCAAAAAAAATCAAATTTTAGGAAAAAAAATTCATTTTATTTTATTACATTTAATTTTTTAATGTTAATACTGCTGCATAAACCTCAAAAGGCTGTCGGAACATTCAGGTCCTTGCCCTGATACGAGCAGTCTTGTTTCAAGTTTAAGCTTAGGGGACAACAATACTTTTGAATGATATAAAAAAGTCCACCAAAAATGGCTAGTTAAAAAGTCGAAAACTGTCTGAGGAAAAAAAACCACCCGAGCCCAAATTTCCCGTTACTTTCGTTGCGAAAGTCGGAACAATATTTTATTCTCTCAAAACTGGCAGTTACATTGAATCTCCCTCTTTTTTCATAGGTGGTGGTGAAAAACTGTTATTTGTGGACGAGTTGCCATGCTGCTATCGAAAAGTTGAGCTAAAAATAGCTCTGGACGTGAAAAACGAGGGCCACTATTCTATCACAGTACCAAACCAAGGTAATTTTATCTATTTGATAAAAATTCAAAAACAGTTTTAAAAACAAAGTCAGTTCGAATCTCAAATCTGAAATACTCATGTTAACCGACAGGGCTAAAACTAAATCTGTCATGTACATGTGTTATCGCTTTTAAATGTTAGTGTCGAGTTTTTGGGAGTAACATGGCAACAATTAAAAATATATTTTTTCAATGAATATACATTGTATCCCGCGACAGTCCCCATCTGCATTCCAGTAAACCATTGTTGCGTTGCTGTCATCTGATTAATTTTATTTCCTAACAAACCTGGAACCTGCTGGTCTATTGGTTGTCGAATGACCTTATTATCTGACCTCACTTGCAAATTAAATTATTTTTCTTTTTGCGAAAGCAAGTGTCTTGCAGGCTGGAACTAGAACTTGTATCCTGTCAACAATTTTCTTACAGACCTGTGAGAAATTGAACTTGCGTATCCATTGAAGTTTAATGAACTGCGGTCCTCTTCCCATTTGGTCTAGGGGTTACGCGAACGGACGGTTGCCTTGAAATTCTAAGGTATGGGGTTTGAGTTCCTCCACAACCTTTTTTTCAGTCCAGCAAAAAACGAATTCTCGGCCTTTCGATTGATTGCTAACGTTTTAGCGGTTTGTTGGGAAGAGGACCGCAGTTCATTAAACTTCAATGGATACGCAAGTTCAATTTCTCACAGGTCTGTAAGAAAATTGTTGACAGGATACAAGTTCTAGTTTGCCATCTCACAGAGTTTTTTCGATAGAAAAAAGATATAATTAAGAGGTTAATCAGTTGTTAGTTAAATACTGTTATTATAAAATGATGGAACAACTTGGTTCAAAATTACCAAGATAGGCTGGATAATACTCTTGAGCCTGTTCATAACTTTCATAATAATAAGTGGAAGAGAAGTCAGGAGTTGTAGCTTTCCGATTTCACTTATCGAATTCGATCCCTCTTCTGGTGTTCCAGCCCTTGAGGTCAGCTTATTGTTATCATTGTAGGTGTAAGTGGTGACCTAAATCACTCAAAACTGGAATGAAATTTTGTTTGGTTTTTTTATTATGTAACAGAAGCGTTGGAAATAAAATCTTAAAAAATTGCAAGGAATACACGCAACAGGAACTCAAAACTGAAAAAATCAAAACATTCGACAAAAAAAAACTAAATTGGTTTAAATCCGCTTCAGTCCACCAAAAACAAAAACAAATAAATACGGCAAAAATTGAGTTCAGTTCGGTTAAAAGTCCAATTGATTCATTTTTTTAACTGGGCCTTTTTAATCAAGTTAAAATGAATTCAAATTGTTCCATATCATTTTTAATCTTCGCATTTTAATTTTCATTTTTTCATGCTAAAAGTGATCTAAAAATTTTTTTATTCTGAAATTGATCTTTATCCAATTTTGTCAGTGCAGATAATGAATTGTTGGGACTATTTATGAAATAAAGAACTAATTATGTAATTATGTCTATAACTGACAAGCTGAGTTAGGACCGAAGTGGTTAACTCATAGAGTAATTTCGGATAGGGTACACCGTCTGCTCGTCACGCTATCTTATTTTCGGCCGGATAGATTCGTGCAACTTCTTAGTCTAATACCGATCCTAATCTTACTCTTATACTATCTAGTCTCAGGTTGTTTAACTAGTCTCTGCTAGGCTCAATAGATCTAGGGTATACTGGTTTATTGCGGCTGCTGAAGTTCTCTTGGAGAGGCAACTAATTTCTAAGTTAAATTCAAATCTCTCTGGTGCTGAAATTACAAGTAATTTCAGCACTTACAAATAAGTGGGTTGTTAGTTAGTTGGATCATGATTGGTTAATATTAAATACTTTACAGTGGTAAAATATCTAATTTATCCAATCATAAAATGTAGTTTAGATCAGGTTCCACCCATCCGGGTTTTACAGAGTTTTTTTTTTTTAGAATTGTCTTTCTGCAATTCAAAGGATGGATGATGGACGTTGGTATTTGGCGAACATCATATTCTTCTGGGTTCTCTTGTTAGAGAAGTTCCAGGACGCTGGAATGATGGATATCAATCGTTGTGTTTTCTTGTAACAACGACTGTGTTTCCCAACGAAATCAATCTGATTTCAGAATGGTTTGCTAAGACGGGTTTTTCTGTTTCATGTAGAGAACTTCTTTTGTGTTCGACCTCGTCTGGGAATGGCGTGGAGATTGTGCGTGGAGGGGATGCCTTGTTACTCGGATCTGTACGTATACTTGAGCATCGAGGTGGTCATTGGTCTAGCTCAATGAAGTCCTTTTCTGCGAAGTCAAGTCGTACTCTAAATCCTTTGAGTTGTGATTGTGGACGCCATATTGGTTGTGGTTGGCCATTCTTTTTCGAGTGTAGTGGGGTCATTTTGTCTTTGGATGTTCGTCTTTGTTGTTGTATGCTGATCTATATACTGCAAGGTATAATTTACATTTTATAAAATTTTTATTAGCTCAGTGTTTTAATTATGATTTTGGTTAGTTGTTTTCACAAAATCATTTTGTTTTAGTTCGGTTATTTTGAAGAGTTACTCACCCTTGAGTACCTCTTATTAAAAATAGAAGTGTGGTCACAAAGCGTGGATGTAGCGCGGTGGGTTAGGCCGGCTATAGAGCATGCTCAGGACGTCCTCTCTGGTGGGTTAGGCCAGGAGTGGGAGTATGATTTCGTGCGGTTTCTGTGAGAGGTCCTGTTATGTGATAACGTTTTATGTCGGGTTTGTGGTGGTTTTTCTTATGTTTCGTTGTTTGTGTCCTTTTTTCAAAAATCAAATTGTTTTTGGTATGGGTTTGTCTTTCGACTTTTTTTTGCGTTTTATTATTTCTTTCTTAGACTTTATAATAGTCTTCAAAAGAATAAATTATCCAGTTTTAAACTGGGTTAATCCGGTTTGGGTACCGTTGGTTTTCTTTTCTTAGTCATGCTGTTATTCTATGTTTTGTGGTGTTTAGTAAGCTGCGTTGGTTAATTTTGTTTAGTATATAATTCCTTTCCAACCGGGTTAAAGGAAAGTTTGAAACGTATTATCGTGTGTTAGAGTTGTTGAGTGTGAAAACTTGAAACTGAAATTCATTGTTTAAACAATTCTTCGTGGGCGAGCTGTGCGAGTTTGGATAGAATTCTTGTGCGAGTGAATGAAAATATCAAAAGGTTAGTACTGCATTTTCGTCTTATCAATTTACTACATAGAATTTCAATTTTACTGCTAGTTTTGGGGAAAAATTAAGTTACAAATTTTCATCATTACTAAATTTACTGCTTTTGGGGAAACAATTTATAAATTAATTTACTACATTGGTATGAATTTTATTATATTTATCTACTGCAAAATATTAATAGAGTTTAGAAGAATTTGAAGAAGTTTTCTTTTTTTTATTTTTCTTTTGTGTTTTTTGCAGATGATCGTGGGATGAAGACTAAAAATCTAAATGAGACATGGATAAAGAATGGTTAGTTTTAATTTTGAATTTATTAGTGGAGAATATGTATAATTTATACTTACCTGTTAGTCGTCGGGGAAAAAACCGTGGGGGAAGATGTCGTCTATTATGTCGGAGTTTGTTAGTAATTTTGCTAGTATGCGAATGATGTTTTTAGTTTGAAGCAGTGGCCAAAGCAATTGAAGTGCTTTAATAGTTTTTAGTTCTTCAGTGCCAACTGCAAACTCATAAGGTGTGTTTTGAATGAGATTATATAATTTGTGATTGTATTTAGTGTTGTGGATGAATTCTAATATTGGGATTTCTATAGGTTGAATAAATTCATGTGTGATAAGGAAGGCTCTGGATTCTTCTGCGTTAAGGGTCTTCGTGATGGAACAAAATATATACATTTGGGTTATGGGATCATAATTGCCAAGAATACCGTGAAGGTTAGTATCTTTGATGCAATATGTGAAGTTAAGAAAAAATGGTGAAGTGTATTTAGAGTTAATAAACTGAAAACGGTGGTGTGGTTGTCTTGATGGAGTGTGCAGATCAAAATGGTTTTGTATGAAACGATAATATGTATATGTGTGGGTTTGTTTAGTGCGTAACATAATATCGTGTGAGCAGTGCAAATCGCGTTCATGTGGTGCAAGGAAATTGAAGGTTAGTGAAAATAATTGAAATCTTTCTTTAAAACTTTCGTAAGCTTGCGTGTCGGTTAGTGCTTCAGAAATGACGTTGTCAAATTTGCGGTCAAATATATTGAGTGTAAGTACATATGGTGTTTTGATGAAGAATTTTTCTGTGATTTGTGGGTTAGCGAAGCGATCATCATCTAAAAACTGGTCTTGGTTAGCTCGGATGATGTTATGATCATAATATTCTAGCGTATATTCGTTAGCTCGGGGTGCAGTGAATGTTTTTAGTGACTTTTTATATCCTATATAAGTAAATTGTCTATGTGTTAGTGGTGTGGTGAGTCGGTATAGCATATCTTGATTTCTTTCTATATCGATATGAGTATTAGATAATGGTAGGCAAAGGGGATTAGTAAAATGATAATATGATGTCCAATGAAGTGTAGGCATTAAAACATGTTCATCTACAAAACTACGTGTGTCGTTAGTGTCATGAGGAGTGTTTAAAGTATACTGTGGAAATGAAGGTAAGGTGATTGCTAGAAAATCTTTCGTGTTAGTGTGATTTGGATGATTAATATATTCACGGGCTGTTCCTGGTTTTGTTGGAAATGGATGATTTGGGAATTTTCTTTTGAAAGTGCGATAAGCTCTATTAGTGCTATTTGATGATTCGGTGGATGTGGATGATTGTGCTAATGATACGGTATAAGCTGAAGAGGGTGTAGGGGTAGGTGGGTTTGATGATTCTATTGTGGATGAAATCTGATTTATAGTGGGGGTGTCAAGGTGTAAGGGTTGTTGTTGTAGGGTGATAAAATTATCTAGTTCTTGGGAGATTTGGGGAATATCTGGAGAATTGGATGATCGGTCTGAATGAAATGAAGAGTAGGTTGGGGTGACTTGTGAAGCGTAAGAAGGTGTAAAAATGGATG